CTTAGGATTCTAATCTAAACAGAATAGGTGTTGATGAGATGATGCTATCGACTTGATGCTTATTGGTATATAAATTAAGGGTGATAATATTGACAAGAATGTCCTTTTTTTATAATTGCACCATCAATCATTCAGATTGGTTCCTCAACACAACATCACTGGTAAGGGTTTCAATATTTGACATGATCCGAAAGCCCGACCCTAAAATTTCGAGTTAGGTTCAACTCGTTTGTGAAACAGATCATGTTTGGGTTCAACAAACCTGCTTATTTCAAAAAATCAGGTCAGTTCGGGTTGACCCGAAAACCCGAAAATGACCCGCTGACCGCATCTTCCAACGTTGGCTACCCGCTGCGTCTGCCCACGTGTCTACCCACGCGTCTTCCCACGTTTGCTACCCAAGAACCCGTCGCGTCTCTTCACTTGAGTTCTTGTCGCGTATGTTGTTCGTTGTCTTGTCGCTTACCACCGCTGTCATGCCACTGCCTTCGTTGTCGAGCCGCTACCATTGTCGCTACCATGTCTGTGGGTCTAGTTGGGTCAACCCGTTAGCCCAAGCGGGTTGGGTCCGGGTTCAAGAATCTAACCCGTTTGCAAAAACATGTCAGGTTCAGTTAGGGTCACCTAGTGTCCGGTCAGTTCCATGTTCAACTTAAACCCGACCCGTGACCCAATTTTGATAGCCCTTATCACCTCCAATTACGGTCGACTGTTCCTTAATAATAAATCATGCATAAACTACAACTGAAGTCGTACAATTGATCATGGTAATTAACCAACATGAACATAAAATTGTCATCCAATTTAACTCTCATTAATAATGGCATAATTAGAGGATTGATCCATAATAATGACAGGCAGCTCAGCATTAAAATTAACACTAATCTCATGTTATGAACCAACCAAGTGAAATTACTCCATATGCTTAACTAAACATTGTGAATTAGAATATGGTAATGAAAAGGATAACTGTGGAGATAGATGAATTAATTACTTTAGTGGAATTTAACCCATTGAACATACTAATAAAAACATCCTAAAAATGAATAGGAATTGCCATAAATAATAATAAAATAATAATAAATGTTCATAAATAAACAATCATAATTTATAATTCAAAATTAAACTATAAAAGTACATAATTATCTATATTTAAGCAAAGATTATTATCTAGTATTATTAATTAATAATTAAATATAAGATTAACATTATAAATTGAATATATCTTTCATTAAGCTACATTATTCTATTTGGATAATATGTTTCATGAGCAAAGAATATGATTTGCCTTTAACAAAACCAAAAAGTTCATTTGATTTATTGAGATGAATTTATTCAATAACTAAATTTTAGCAGCGTCTTCAGGCGGGAGGAAGAGCTCCGGCGGTGGTCGAGGAGGTGAGGAATCTCCTTTTCCCCTTTCTCCTCTTCTTCTTCTCTCTTTTCACTTGAGTCCCTTTGGTGTAGAATGAGGGCTCTATTTATAGTTTTTCTGGAGTGGCATAGCCCGTAAATAGGCGTGAGATCAGGGGCGAATTGGGAGTGTTTTGAATGGACGGCCGATATCGAATCCTTTGATCATGGACCGTTCGTTGGGCATTTGAAGGCCTTAATGATGTCGGAATTCGGTGATCTTGGGCTCGTTGGATTTGTCTCGCCGAGCCGTTCGATTCGAGTATAAGGTCGTCAAAATCGAAGACCGTTTGGTAACTCAAATTGTGGTTTGAACCTTCCAACAATGCTTTGAGCCCTTGATTCGGACTCATTTGAGCTCGGATTGGGTTGATCTTGGTGTCGTTGGGTTCGTATTTCCGAGACGCTCAGTTTGAGTATAAGCTAGCCGAAATCGGAGTTCGGGAGCTTTCAAAATTAATTTTTGAAGTTTTCAACTAGCTTTTTGCCTCGAGATTTGTGTCCGATCAAGCTAATTTTGTGATGACGTATCAAATATATTTTTAAATCATAATAAGGATATGCTAATTAAAATTTGAATTATGATGGACTTCGACATCTTCGGATCTACTCTGAGATGAGTGGAATTTAAATTATTTATGAATAGCACACATCTCCAAGCAGATCCAAGGGCAATAAACCCCATCATAATCATTTTTTGATCACTGTAGTATACTACAGTCAAGTTGAAGACATTTTAAACAGCAATAAAATATCATAAAAAATTATCAAAATAATGAAAATTTCAACAAAAAAAAAATTATAACAAGTTATTCTTATACAAATTATACTATAAAAATTAAAAAGATTGTCGGATACATTACAAGATTAGTTCAATATAAATTCTTCATACATATATAGCATTAATATTAAAGCAAAATCAATGATTCTAGGGGTGTCAATATTTGACACGACATAACAATCTAATTTGAAACCGACCCGAAAATTTCGGGTTTGGGCGAATCGGGTCTGATTCGGGTTAGGAATTTCGACCCATTTATAAAACTGGGTTGGGTTCGTGTTTGGTAACCCAGACCCAGACAGGTCGGGTTCGGGTTTGAGAATCTAACCATTTGCAAAAACAAATTGGATTTGAGTCGTGTAAAATAGAAGCGGGTCACTATCAGGTTCGACCGAAACGCGATCCACAACCCGTTTTTGACACGACAAAATGATTCTTAAGCTCGTCTTAATAAGAATTATATAATGATATATTTACGTAATCTACGAGTAAACTTGGTCAAAAGTTCTCTAATCTTTCCGTTCGTTCGGGAAAAATTCAATGCTCGAAAAATTCTTTAAAAAATAAAATAATAATAATTCTCTCATATTTAAAATATAACTTTCGAATTATTTAAAAAATTTTAATAGTTTAATTTTCTAATTTAAATGTAAAAGCTTTTGGATTTCTCTCAACTTTCAACTAAAACATGCGACGTTACGTCCAAATCAGGACAGTGGAGCACTAATCATGGTTTTCTTCAACCAATTTATTTAAAAAATATTTTGCATAAATGCCACTGAACATTTATATATTTACATATCAACATTTTAAATTTTATATATTAGAGAGTTTTGGATGCTATATATGGAAATACAAAAAATTAGATATTTGATATGCAAATATATAAATATAAGGGGTATATATGTAAATCCAAAAAATATATATACAACTCAAGAAGATATTGACAAAATATTTGTATGGATAAATAATTGATAGAAGAATTTTATTATATATGCAAATAAATTTTTTTAGATGTTTTATATGTAAATATATAATTATTAAATGATATATATGCAAATTCAAAAAAAAAAAAAAAACTACTATTCAAAACTTTTAATGTTGGAGAATTGGTGATGCTCAGGATGCGCCGTGAGCGGTATCCCCAGGGAACGTATTCGAAGCTAAGCCCACGAAAAATTGGACCATTCGCCATACATAGTAAGATCAATGATAACGCATATGTAATTGATCTACCATCTGGCATCCATACGTCGGCTACCTTCAATGTGGCTGACATCTACAGTTATCACGCACCGGACAGTGCTCAACCCATAGAAACATCGTCGGAGTCAAGTTTCTCCGAACCGGGGGAGAGCTGATGCGGTCATCGGTTTGGTTACACTACTCCGGAGGATCATCTTGCGGACTGCTCAGCACTACTCCTGATTTTCTGACTTTCGGTTATGCTTTGACAGCAGCTTTTTAAGAATTATAGTTTGTTTTATTTTCTCTAGTAATTCCTTAATTATGCTAGTAGCTTTATGAACCCCTAGAGGTTGTAGGAAAAAGTAACTTTTCAATATACTAGAACTATCGTTCAAGGCTTTAAGCCAGTTACTGTTTCATTGCTTTCTTCCCTTTCCTGGTGTTCTTCTTCCTCCGTGAAAGCTGCGGCATTATCTTGGTATCAGAGCTAGTCGCCGGTGACCATGGCTTAAGGAAGTAGCCGGCCCAGGACCGACGAAGATCGGAGCTTGGAGGCGTTATGGGAGACGCAAAAACAAACCTCCAAGCAATTGGAGGAACTCATTCACCGCTTCGCGCGTTTCGCAGACGATATGCGAGACGAGTTGCGTCAAGTCAGGGCAATCACCAATCCAGTGACCCGCCCAGAGATTCCGGCAACCATACCGGAGCAGCGACGACAGTTGCGGACGGAGACCATACCTCGTAGAGCCACTGCTGTGCTTCCCGACATCACAGACTCAGATTCAGAGGAAGCTTCATTCGGAGAGAATTCGGAAGCGGAAGCTGAACCGCATTTCCAGGAAGTGACGCGGGCGAGACGGCGTGATAATCAGTGAACGGAACACGAAGGTATGCGTATTAAGATTGACATTCCTTTTTTTGAAGGACGCATGCATATCGAAGACTACTTGGATTGGGAGGCGGCGGTCGAAAACTTCTTCGACTATCTGGAGATCAATCCGACTAAACAAGTGAAATACGTGGCTTGCCGACTCAAGGGGGGAGTGAGCGCGTGGTGGATGCAGTTAGTGAGAAGCCGCCAGCGAGAAGGTAAAGGTCCGGTGAGAAACTGGGCCAGGATGAAACAGCTTATGAGGCGTTACTTTCTCCCCACCGATTATGAACAACTCCTCTACATTCAATACTAACAGTGCAAACAGGGGCAGCGTTCAGTCAGTGAATACACTGAAGAATTTTATAGATTGAACGCTCGTAATAATCTCTCTGAATCGGAGAATCAGCTAGTCGCTCGCTACACGGGAGGATTGAAGGAGTCTATTCAAGACAAATTGGAGTTAAATTCGGTGTGGACCGTCTCTCAGGCGGTCAACTTCGCACTCAAGGCGGAAGCTCAATCACAAAGGTCGTATCGCCAGCAGTCAGGCCGCAGACAGTTTAACGAGGGATCAGCCAGTGTTACCAAGTTTGGAGGACAGCAAGCCAAGAATTCTCCTAGTATACCGTCACCGGCCACTGCACCTGTTATGGAAGAGAAGGGAAATTATAAAACCAAATTTATGGGGGCCAAGGAGAATCCTTATGCTAAACCGTCAACTATTAAATGCTTTAGATGCCTACAGCCAGGGCATAAGTCAAATGAATGCCCCACACGTCCTCAAGCTCATTGGCTAGAAGGAGTTGAAGAAGAGGCAGCACAGCCCGAAGTTGAAGCCGAAGAAGACATTGAAGAACTAACCGCAGACGTAGGAGAGCCTGTTGTCTGTGTGTTGGAAAAACTATTAATTGCTCCTAGACAATCCATTGACAATCAAAGAAATAGTTTATTTCGATCCAAATGTACTATCAACGGCAAGGTGTGTGACGTGGTAATTGACAGTGGTTGTACCGAGAATATCATTTCTCGAGCTGCCGTTCAAGCTCTACAAATTAAAACCACAACAAATCCTACTCCTTTTAAGATCGGCTGGGTAAAAAAAGGAGTTGAATTCCTTGTTTCAGATTTATGTCAAGTTACATTCTCCATAGGCAAGAATTACTTGTGCAATATCACTTGTGACGTCCTAGAAATGGATGTTTGTCATTTAATACTCGGAAGGCCTTGGCAATATGACAGTGGAGCTGTGCATGATGGAAGGTCCAATATGTATACCATTGAATGGAAGGGAAAACGACTCAAATTATTACCCGCAGGACAGCAGTCCCATGTAGTGAAGGCCACCAGTTTATTGTCTGCAAAATTGGTTTCGGGTAACGCTCTTCTGAAGGGTCAAGATTGGAAGAATAACGATTGGTCCAGCCCGTTGCTTGCGGTACTTGTTGGAGACCATGAGGAAAGGAAGCCAACTCCTCTTATCCCTCAGGTCAAGGAGTTATTACAAAAGTTTGCAGAAGTCACGGCAGGTGATTCAACAACAACACTTCCTCCCCTGAGAACCTTACAACATCAAATTGAGTTAGTGCCGGGTGCGGTCCTTCCAAACCTCCCGCACTATAGAATGAGCCCGAAAGAGCAAAACATCCTAAGACAAATTATACAGGAATTGTTACAGAAGCAATTCATTCATCCAAGTCTCAGTCCGTGTGCGGTGCCGGCTTTGACTGTACCAAAGAAGGACGGACAGTGGCGGCTTTGCATTGACAGTCGAGCGATCAATCGAATCACTGTTAAATATAGATTTCCCATTCCCCGAATCAACGATCTGCTGGACAAACTTTCGGGGGCCTCCATTTTCTCCAAATTGGATTTGAAGAGCGGGTATCACCAAATCCGCATTCGGCCGGGGGACGAGTGGAAGACAGCATTCAAGACTGTCGACGGACTCTTCGAGTGGAAAGTCATGCCTTTTGGGTTATGCAATGCACCGTCGACGTTTATGTGCCTCATGCACGAAGTTCTTAGACCGTATTTAGACAAGTGCTGCGTCGTCTATTTTGACGATATTCTTATATACAGCACCTCTCTTGAAGAGCATTTGACACACTTGAATTCTATCCTGGAAACTCTCCGCCACAATCAATTGCTTCTCAACACTGACAAGTGTGACTTTGCAGTTAGTAACATTCATTTCCTGGGTTTTGTCCTTTCGGCGGAAGGAGTTCACACCGCCCCTCAAAAAATAGCGGCGATACAGAGCTGGCCCACACCAACGTCGCTGACGGAAGTTCGGAGTTTCTACGGGCTAGCTAACTACTATCGACGTTTTATCCAAAATTTCAGTGGTATCATGGAACCTCTTACTAACTGTTTAAAATCTTCGCAATTCTCTTGGGGGCGGGAGCAACAGCGAAACTTTGAAAAATTTAAGGAAGTCCTCAGTTCAGCACCGGTGCTAGCTTTCCCTGATTTTGACAAGCCATTTCAAGTGGATACAGATGCATCGGCTGTAGGTATAGGCGTTGTTTTGTCTCAAGATGGGCGGCCAGTAGAGTATTTCAGTGAGAAGCTGAGTCATCCCCGTCAGAAGTGGTCAGCTTATGAACATGAGCTGTATGCCGTTGTTCGTGCTCTTAAACAGTGGGAGCATTATTTGTTACACCGAGATTTCGTATTATGTAGTGATAACCAGGCGCTTTAGTATATCCACAATCAGAAAAGTATCAACCGAATGCATGCGCGATGGATCGTTTTCTTCCAACGATTTAGTTTTGTCATTAAACACAAGGCAGAGAAGATCAATCGCGTTGCGGATGCCTTGAGTAGGCGTCAGGCCTTGCTTGTCCGATTACAAACAGAAGTGACGGGATTGCATATGCTTCAAGAGATGTACGAGGAAGATAGAGAATTTGGCAGCATTTGGGCTGTTTGCAAGGCAGGGCAACCTCAGCAAGATTACACGATCCAACAGGGTTTTCTGTTCAAAGGAAATAGCTTGTGCATACCCGATTCCTCATGGCGTCCTTATTTGATTAAAGAGATACACTGCGGAGGACTAGCTGCTCATTGTGGAAGGGACAAGACCGTAGAAATGTTGCAGGCTCGTTTCTTTTGGCCTCATTTGCGCCGGGATGTGTCCCGCTTTGTGGAGAAATGTTTCGTTTGTCAGCGATTCAAGGGCACAGCTCAAAATACTGGACTGTATATGCCGTTACCTATTCCCGACTCCATCTGGGAAGACTTAACTCTTGATTTTGTGTTGGGGCTACCTAGAACTAAGCGGGGATCCGACTCGATCATGGTCGTAGTGGATCGATTTTCCAAAATGGCACACTTTGTGTCATGTAAGAAAACGTTTGATGCCGTCAATATAGCTCAACTCTTTTTCAAAGAGATTGTTCGCCTACATGGCGTACCTCGCAGCCTCACCTCTGATCGAGACGTGAAATTCGTCAGCCATTTTTGGAGAGAACTATGGAAAAGGTTTAACACTGACATTAAGCTGAGTTCTGCGTATCATCCTCAGACTGACGGTCAGACGGAGGTCGTCAATCGAACTCTCGGCAACATGTTGAGGTGTCTCGTGCAGGACAATCCAAGGCAATGGGAGGAGCGTCTAAGCCAGGCTGAATTCGCTTATAATGCTACCATGAACAGATCAACGGGCCATTCCCCCTTTCAGGTAGTTTACACGAAATTACCTAACCAGATAGTTGATGTTGCTATCTTGCCTAAGAATGCTAAGTCTGCGGTAAACAAGACCATAGCAGAAATTCAGGATACTCTCAATTCGGTCAAAGAAAATTTGCAGAATTCCAATGACAAGTATAAACAGCGGTCAGATAGACGCCGTAGATTCAAAACTTTTAATGTTGGAGAATTGGTGATGCTCAGGATGCGCCGTGAGCGGTATCCCCAGGGAACGTATTCGAAGCTAAGCCCACGAAAAATTGGACCATTCGCCATACATAGTAAGATCAATGATAACGCATATGTAATTGATCTACCATCTGACATTCATACGTCGGCTACCTTCAATGTGGCTGACATCTACAGTTATCACGCACCGGACAGTGCTCAACCCATAGAAACATCGTCGGAGTCGAGTTTCTCCGAACCGGGGGAGAACTGATGCGGTCATCGGTTTGGTTACACTGTTCCGGAGGATCATCTTGCGGACTGCTCAGCACTACTCCTGATTTTCTGACTTTCGGTTATGCTTTGACAGCTTTTTAAGAATTATAGTTTGTTTTATTTTCTCTAGTAATTCCTTAATTATGCTAGTAGCTTTATGAACCCCTGGAGGTTGTAGGAAAAAGTAACTTTTCAATATACTAGAACTATCGTTCAAGGCTTTAAGCCAGTTACTGTTTCATTGCTTTCTTCCCTTTCCCGGTGTTCTTCTTTCTCCGTGAAAGCTGCGGCATTACTAACTAGCAAAGGACTTGAAGGCAAACCTTTGCTTCAACAACAATTAATATATGGGATCAAATAAATATTTAAAAGAATATAAGGTAGTCTCCACATTCAAAAAAATATTTAATAGATAAGCTAAGGTGCTTCAAACATTTATTATTAACCATGTGTGATTTCGAGAATAATATATGTTTGTTTAGGATTATTATATAAATATTGATAAAATTATTATGTGTTTTTGCGTTGATCTTCTTTTCTATTTTTCATTTTTTTTATGATTGAAACAAATTTTGCCAATGTGATGCAAAAGTAAATTGAGTTAAGGCATCTCCAACCGAAAACCTCATTTTTCACGGCAAAATACACCAAAACTTCAAAATATGGTAATTATGCTCCAATCGAACTCCAATTTGTAGGCTTCCCTCGTCGTAACCGTCATTCTCCATTTTGCGGGTAAATCCCGTTGAGACATAAAAATTTAGCAGGTGAATAGTGCGACGCCAATATTGGCTTCGCACTGTTCATCAGCAAACAAATGCTGGAGAAAAAGGCGTTCGGTTGCGACGTTTGAGGGCCTCCATTCGATTGTTTGTCGAACGGCTGGAAATGGTCTTAGTTGAGTTTAGAAGGATATATAAACACCATCACATAACAGATTTTTTTGTACTAGAAATAAAAAATAATTTTTTTGTACTAGAAATAAAAAATAATTTTTTATACTAAAACACTATTTAAAAAAATAATAATAAAAATCGTCACAAATAAAACCTAAGTTATTATGAATAAATGATGGATCAACATTAACCCACAAAAAAATAAATCTTAACCTAAACTACCCCACTATGTCCTCTGATATATCTGCTACAAAAAATAGAATATATATATATATATATATATATTACAAATTGGGGCACTTTGTAGTTATTTGTGGACGTAATTGTAAAATTGTTGTGAGAAAATTAATTTTTAAAAAGCTTATTATAATAAT